TGTGGTGTGTGTGTGTGTGTGTGTGTGTGTGTGTGTGTGTGTGTGTGGTGTTTCATTGGCAGAAATACAACATAAATGTGGCTTTTTCCATCCTTTTCCTCAGCATCGTGCATTTTTCTAAAAGCTTTTCTCTCAGCAGCTGACCTTGGGGAGTCCCTGAAGTGAATTTAATGAAAAGAGTCTCTTTAACCACCGAACATTTTTATTTGACACGGATTTAAGCATCGGATATCCAAAAGGAGTTTAAGTATCTGTTTCTGTCTGTCATATTACTCTTTACTACGGTCGATTTCTTAGCTGTGTTAAACAGTCATGGTCTAACTTGGTGGACTTGTATTGCCAAGTTCCTGTCAGGCTTCTCTGGAACCTAACCCTGAGCTAGCACATTCTGTACTAGCTTAACAGTATTTGTCATTGCTATTTCCAGCAGGCCAGTGCGCATTTTGGTCTAATTTAATGCTGAGCACTTTTAAGTTCCTTCTTTTGATAAGAATTTTTAAAAATATACTAGTGTCGCCTTGTAATCATAATCTCCTTTAAAAGGGATAATTTTGTTGTTGACCTACTGTCCCATACAACACAGTCTGGGTTTTAACTTATTTGCTTTATTGATAATAGATTTGGGTCTTCCTCATTAAAGTTTTAGTCTCATTCTTTCCTTCATGATTTAAAAACCCATGTATGAAATAATTTTCATCATGCAAGTTTCATATTGCTGCCCTAACAATTTGCAACTTCAAACAACACATATTTAGAATTTCTACTTGACTGTTATCGAGCTGAAATTAAGGCATTGGCAGAGTCAAGTTTCTAGAATATGTAAAAGAGAAGAAGAGAACAAATTTGCTTGTCCTTTCTAGCTTCTCGAACAGTGGTTCTCAACCTTCCTAAGGCTGCCACCCTTTAATACAGTTCCTTAAGTTGTAGTGACCCCAACCATAAAATTATTTTCATTGCTACTTCATAACTGTCTTTTTGCTACTGTTATGATTGTGTAAATTCCGATGCTCAGAATATCTGATATGTGACGCTGGTGAAAGTGTCTTTCAACCCCAAAGGGGTTCCGATCCACAGCGTGAGAACCGCTGTTCTTCATGCTGCCTGTATTTCTTGGCTTGTAGTCTCTTTTCTTCTATTCTCAAAGCCAGCTCAGCCTCAAACTCCTCTTGTCTCCCTCTTCTCCACGTGAGGACCTTTTTCCTTAGACCCACCCAAATAATTTTAAAATAATCTCACTAATTTTAAGATCAGATGATTGGCAGCTTTGGTTTCATAACTACCCAAATTCCTCTGTGCCGTGTAAAGCAACATATTCACCGGCTGCGGAGATCAGTGGGTGTACACGGTGGGAGACTATTACTGTGCTGATGACAGTTAACGGTCTCAGCGTGTCATATGTCATAGCGCTTTATGACACTACACCCATAATCTCCACATTAGTAGTAATATAGTTTCCTTGTAACTCCGCACTCTTCAGACCCAGACTCCATCCAGCTAGCTACTATTAATATTATAAGAATAATAATATCGTATCAAATTATAGTTGTTTTATCATGGAAAGGATATATTAGAGCAGTATAGTGTAAAAGTTTGAAAATTATCAATTTAGTGATTTTTGACACCTCACATAAGATTAAGAAAACTAAGTCATGAGAAACCTAATTAATGCAAATATTCAAATTTTGTAATCTTCAAATGAAGGATCCTTCTTAAAAATTTAAATATCTATTTCCTAATCTTAAATGTTTTATTCCTTAAAACCACATAAAGTGGCCAGGCAGTGGTAGTGAACACTTTTAATCCCAGCACTCTGGAGGCAGAGACAGGAGGCTGTCTGTGAGTTTGAGATCAGCCTGGGTCTACTAAGCAAGTTGCAGGACAGCCTCCAAAGCTACAGAGACACCCTGTCTCAAAAAAAAAAAAGAAAGTTAGTTTGTAAAAACATCTTGAAAATATCTACTTTTCAAAAAAAAAAAAGAAGACATTGAGGCTCATGAAAGTTGAAATGGTTATCTTTGTTAAATGTCTTTTCATCATAATCACAACTGAGTCAATTGGATGGGACAAGAAAACTACTTAATACATTATGTTTTTTGTACTGTAACTTGGTAGAAAACTCCCTTAACATAGTATTTGCTCTGCCTTAAAAGTAAGAATGTTAGCATATTCTTTTCTGTATCCTTTCCTCTGGGTTCTTGATACTTTAGAAGTCATCATATATGGAAAGGAAAAGCACATGTGTTTGTATAGCATATGTACATACATGCATATATATATACACATATATGTATGTATGTATATGTTTGTGTGAGATATATATATATATATATATATATATCCCTTTTAATAATAGGTGATGTTGGTGAGATTTACTTTTTTTTCTAAGTGCAAGTAACTGAAACAAGCCTAAACATAAAGTTCCTGAGCACAGACTCAAGAAATAAACTTCTAAGAGCTCTGCATATAGACACATTTTCCTCACTGGCACATATTTACTAAGCATATTCTTGTAAATTAAGCCAACCTAGAGTACTATGGGGTTGGCTATTTGTCTAGAGTTACCTACTCATCTATACTGAAAAAAAAAAAAAATTACAGAAAACCTCCTTCATCAACTCTGAAGAACTCCTTGAAAATTCCCCAGGTGCTATGGCATCTGCCTGCCTTCAGCTATGATCTTGTCTACCGTACAACTAGGTGCTGTGATGTCTGCTGTCAGTGATGACCCCGTCCAACATACCCTGGAGCTGTTATGTCCACCATCAGTAATGACCTCACCTAGCGTCCCTAGGTACTATGGTGTCTGCCATCAGTGATGATGTCATTTAACATATAGGCATTGATCTTACAGGATTTTTCATGAATAATTTAAATTCAACAACACTTTCTATCATACCTATCCTTTTAGTTGGACTTGTGAACTATCTGGCCTTTTGTATTAAACATAAGCTAATAAGCAAGCTGCCATGTTACATTTCTAATAATACTCTCTCTTCCAAATTCATTGACCCCCCCCTCCCATCTTCTTGGTGCTTTTAGTCAAAACAGTTCTCATTAATTGAATGATTTGTAGTTTGTCCTTCAAATTTCTTCCTTTTGTACAGCAATTCTCCCACACTAGTGTACAACCCATTATTTTCTTGGCCCTTGCAATTCTGTGTAGTTTTAATTCCCCCATAAATAATGTGTCTTCTGAACTTTATTTTCAGTCTGATCATCACATACTCTTTCGTAAGAATTTATAAAATGTAACTTGGAAAACCTCTCCACTCTTAATGATCAAGCAAACTTTGCATAATAATAAACTAAAGGACTGTACGAGCCCCAGCCTGTATAGGGTGTGAAGCCCTTGTGCACATAGATAAGCACAAAGGAAAACAGAAGAGTTCAACCCTCAGGCTTTTCTCTTCAAAGGAAGGATATGTTTCCCTGCATTCCACCCAGAATGCTGGAAATGGATGCAGTTTATTTCCTGGTGATGTTTTGCTATCGGTGGACCAAGACTCCCCCTAATCCCACCAGACTCTTACTTTTGTTTATCCCAGACATTTTCCCCTTGCCTCTTGAGCATTGCCTCTCAGTCAAAAAAAAACAAAAAACAAAAAACAAAAAACTCATTTTTATGAAAGATCTCACTCGTGCTTACAGTAGCCTTCTAAGTTTGTCTTAGTGCCAGACCAATCCTGACTCCTATGGGCTATTTGTTTACCCCAGTAATTCTCCCCAGACCCTGATCTTGAGGATTGTTTCTGAGTCTACACTACCCATCTTTATGTAAGAAACTATATCTACTTTGTAAAGAGTTTTAATATAAACTGTCTTATGCTTTGTTATACACATGGGATTGAATTAGTTATCAGGAAACTCCTTTCCAAACATGTGCTGTGCTTAAGTATGACTGAAGTTTGAATCAGCCAGGCTAAGTTGTGCTGAACCAGATTTCCTTCTTGCCTCTCTCAGATCTTTTCTCTGCTGGTCATAGTGTTCACGGAGACTCCCACACAAGCCCATTTATGCCAGCTGTTTATAGTGTGGATTTCTAAGAGCTACTAAAGTTTATACATTTTAAGTTTTTAAACGTTTGAACTCCTAGAGTGGGTTCATTTTCCCAAACATACTACCCACAGATCTCTGATCTAAATGGGCAAGTAGTCTTCTTAGACTTAGATTGCAGGTTTCTATAAAGGATTAAAATTTTCAAGAGAACCTGTTAATGTTTGGGAGAAGATCCAGAAAGAGAATGCAGGATGGCATTGATCAGCTATGGTGGATGAGTTCCTTTTTGTAATGAATTAGAGTATCAGACCTGGAAGAATTTTTTTCTATTGTATTTTTTATATTGAAGGAGACTGCTGTTTTGTTATTACTTTAACAACTTATTTTGTTGTTTGCTAAAGCATAACAAAATACTGATAAGGAAAGGTTCTCTGTAGAGCATTGATTAGGGAGATCTTGAACTTCCTATGGTTTCTGCTGTCAGAGTCAACTTAATAAAACATTGATGCTTCATTGGAGCTCACTTTCCTACACACTCCTGTCACGTGGATCAGATTGTGGCTACCTTATCTTCATCTAGTTTATGGCTTTATATTATAACTCATTGATATAATTGCACTACTGTGAATTCTATACAAATAGGAGGGCATCTGAAATTAGAAGTATGAGAGTTTAGCTATTCAGTTGGCTAAAGGATCCTTATTAATTCACACAGAAATGCTTTGTAGATGCATATTATGGATATCAGTATCTTCTGTGATTTTGTTTCAATCTGCACCACACCTGCTCTTTGTCCCATATAGATAATGTACACCAAGGACCACTCAAGGAAATAGGAAGCTTTCTTTCAGCATCTTTGATTTTTTATACATCCTTTATATATGGTGTGTATACATAATTTTGTTTACTTTTGTGTATGTTTAATAGATAAGAGGTTTGGTTTGTTTTTGTTTTTGTTCTTTAGTTTTGTTTTTATGAGACAGGGTTTCTCTGTGTAGCCCGAACTGAGAGATCTGCCTGCCTGCCTGCCTCTGCCTCCCAAGTGCTGGGATTAAAGATGTGTGCTACCATGCCCAGCTTGATAAGAGAGCTTTTCAGAAGTGAATATTCATAACTAACATTTATTGCTCTGAGTTTCATTCCTTGATGTTTAACTTTAAAATGATGTTTGCCTTCAATTCTAAGATGAAACTTTGATCTCTCTCCCTCTTTCAGACAGTCTTTATCTCTTGCAAGGTTCGGTAGTAGCAGATCACGACTACATTGGATTTCCTGAAATCCCAGTTGGAGCATACCAGGCGAATATTCTGGTGGAAGATGCAACTATTGGTGTAGCTGATGATGAATTATTGGCAACAGGCAAGGATCATGAACTCTTGGAATATAGAAATTCCAAAATCTCCGTCTTGGTAGAGGATCAGAGTTCTCTTGAGAAACAGACTTTCAGTCTCCTGGATTCTTCAAATCAAGTCCTTGAATATTTAAGTTAGTAAATACCAAAAATTAATTTCAAATGCCTGCTTAGAATGTATATATACCTAGATTGTAAGCACTTTATTAAAATATGTTGTCGAGAAGAAATATCTTAGCACAATATTATTAATTAAATTCTGAAGGCTTATTTTAAACCTATGTCAAGTTGTGACACATTTGAAAACAAACTAATATACATAACAGAAGTATACAATGCAGAGAATTCAGGTATCTCTCAGAGAATAGACAATATCCAGTTGCTTTTTTGGAAATGAATTCAGGTAGAAAATTCTCAAACCTCCTAATATTGGTACTCCATTTTCTGTTCTAAATTTTTTCAGTATTATTTCACCTTGAAATAAATTTAAACTATTTATGATTTAGTTAATAAATGTTGAGTGAACAATAACATGAAACTTTTTTCCGTGACATTGGAACTTTTTAAATTTGTATTTGTGTATTTACCTGTGTGTGGTGTGTGTGTGTGTGTGTGTGTGTGTGTGTGTGTGTGTGTGTGTGTGTGTTTTGGACTGTGAATTTGTGGATGTAAGTACAGTGCCTGTAAAGGCTAGAAGAAGGTGATGGATACAGGTCTGATATTACAGATGGTTGTGAGCCAACCACTGTGAGAACTGGAACCACACTTGGGTCTGCTGCATCAGCAGGATATACTGTAGCTAAAAGGCAAGTGACTATCAGGGAAAAATTAATCCTCTGACCTCATAATGCAAACCAAAGAAATTGCAAATAGAATTCTAGAAAGAAACTGGAAAAAAAAAAAAAAAGACGATGACAATGCCGAGGTGTGGCTGTAGTAGCCCTCTCCTGCTCTCCTCAGTGGAGCAGAGTTCATGAAGGAGGTTACTGCAATGCTGCATGGTACAGAAAGGGTCATGTCCTTGCTCTTCCCAATGAAGTCACTTTCTTCTGTTTCTTTTAGAGATCATCTGACTTGAAATTGGCCTATTTTACTTGTTCTATTTAAGGAGGCCAGTTAGCATTCAGGTTCATTTCTGAACTGCAGATTCTGAACAGCTAAAAATAAAGTTTTCCTTTCCTAAGTAATTTCTCATCAGATTTTTGTTATTTGTGTATGAGTCATATCAGGCTACTTTATTCTTTGTGCAAATTATCCTCAAATCTTAGTGGCTTAAAACAATAAAGTTTCTTTCTTCGCCACCCATGTGTCCTCATTGGTCATCAGTAACTGATTGCAGTTTCATCCTCAGAAATGTAGAGTGACAATCCTTAGTTCCTGAAATGGCGCTATCGTATCAAGGGGGGGGGGGTAACATTGAGGGACTTACCAAGACATTGAGCACATCACTCCAATGCTTAAATGTCATTTCTGTTTGAGGTACAGAGTTTCTTTTGTTTTGAAGCGAATGATAATTTTTACTGCGTGAATATGTACAAATTCACTGAATTTCACCACCTACAAGGGTGTTCCAGGCTTACTGCCTTTTCCTATTGTTCATATTCTCCCCAGTTAATAATGGCACCAGGATGACCCCATGGAACAGACCTTATAAGGTTATTGTCAGAGAAACCCACAGGCTCTGGTCAGACAAGAAAGGGGCGTTCCCTGCTGAAATAGTCTAGAAGTATTTGAAGAAGTAGCTACTTTTTCAGGTGTGTAGACACCAACATAAGACTGTGAAAATCATGAATAATCAGAAAAACATTCCACAGTGTTTCAGAATAATCACCAATAGCTGACCCTCAAGAAGCCTATGTATAAAATGTGCCTCGGAAAGAATTCCAAATAATTGTCTGAAAGAAGTTCAAATATTCTACAGGTGAGCATAGACAAATTTAAAAAAAAAAACAAACCAAGACCATACATGGAAATAGGAATGAACAGTTTAACAAAAAGAAGCTGTAATACTGTTAATTATATCCCAGACACAGTCTAGAGTCACCTGGGAAGAACATTTAAATGAAGGATTGTCTAAATTAACTTGGCCTGTAGGCATGTCTGTCAAAGACTGTTTTGATTGTATTGTTTGAAATGGGAATATTAGTTCACTATGTGTGGGGGAGGGTAAGCTGTTTAAGAGTGACCTGCACTGGGATAAATGAAGGGGTACCCTTAGGGCAAAACCCTATCCAGTTAAACTTACAACTTGTAGAAAGAAAAGGCCTAAGGAATTTTCTGCTCCTAAGAAATAACAGAGCAACTAACTGTTACACTCTCCTTGCTTCCGATCTTTGCATGTAGTGTAGTCAGGGCTCTTGCATCTGGATATTGGTTTTCCTCTCCGAAAAGGCGAACAATTGTTTGAGAAATAATGTCAGAACTTTACCATATCAAAAGTGAAAAAGTCAGGTCTGATAATCCCAGGAAATAAGGAATTAACACATTCATGGCAAGCCCAGACTAGGCAACATAGTAAGACCTTTGATTAAAACAACAGCAAAGATAACAATAATAAACAATAAAGCTTGAATGTTATTCAGTGCAGAGTCTTGCTTAGCACAAACAAGGCCCTCCTTTGATCACCCAGTATTGTAACAACATTAACAGCAAATCTAAACCACAGATATAAACAGCCAAATCAGCCACATTTAGTAAAGAAGGACAGGTGACTCTTACCAGATTCCCAGAAAGAGACAAACTAGAATATTAGTGGATAGCAATAAAAGTAATTCTCATGTTTTTCTTTTTTCGTTGTTGCCTTTTAAGCTGCAGCTGTCCTATTCAGCAACTGTCACTCAGCCTCTACCAGCAGCAGTTAGGCCACAAGAGCAGAAACCTGAGGGAAGTCCCTCAGGCACTGACTCTTTCAAAGCTACTAAAGAAACTTATTTAAACCTCCGTCTCACTAAAGAACTCAAGATTCAAAGTTTGAAGTAGAATCCTGCTTCACAGAGAGGCTGAATAGCAAGCAGCTCACCTAGCTGGCCTCCTCTTGTCTCCCAAGATGTCCTCATGTGTTTTTTTGTTGTTTTATTTCTCTCAATAGTCCTCATAAATCCTTCTCCACCTGGCTCCTCCCTACAACTTCCTGCCAACTAGTTGCTGACCCAGCCTCCTGACAGCAGGTGAATTTTATTTAATCAAACACATCTTTGCATCATTAAACAAATGTTCCAGAGCATAGACAAAAGTAACACACCTGAAAATAATATTCTACAACAGTCTGATGTCCTAATAAAGTAATAGCTAATACAAACTATCCTAATAAATTGCTGATGTTACGACTGAAATGTCAGGATTGTAATGTAGATCCTACAAATGTATATTTTAAGTAAGCAAATATGGGCAGAGAACATTCTGATTTTGATATCCACAGTCTTAACTTCAAGATTCACATGGTGCTAAGATTGGAAATAGAAGTCTACATGCCACATACCTAAATATTTCAAAACTGTAATTCAAGCTGATAAACTAACACATCCTTTCATAGTCCATAGCGGTGCCTCCATACAGACCACACCAAAGAGTGACAACTTACAGAAAAGGCAATCTCACAGGTACCCAGTCTACCATCCTTGTCCTTTACCAAGGATAACTGACCCCAACTCCATAGAGGCACCCTATCCCTAACCCAAGTCTTAGGATCATTTGTGCAAGTAGGGAAAAAATAGGAAGACCCTAAAAGATGTCCCTCAGGCAAAAATACATACATGCATACATACATACATACATACATACATACAAGCAAACAAACAATTTGAATCCTTGGGTTTTATTCTGCCATGAGTGGCCGAAGGTAGTGCTGGATACAGCTTACTCCTCAAGCAATAGGCATCTCTTGATAGTATTTAGGCTAATACAATTTATGTAAAAAGAGGGTAAAAGAAGCTGACCAAAAGAATTCAGAAATGTAAAGCTTTGTATGCCACCTTGTGGAGTTTTCATGAATATGTAAAGCCATGATCTAGAAGGAACTAGAAAATCTATTTTGTATGTAATTAACACGTCAAGCATAATTTTTGTTATACCACCATTTGTAATCTACATAGTTACTAAGATTTATGATATAACTGAATACCCCTGTAGCTATGAAATTCATCTATGTACTCAAAAATGTATATATGAAATGTGTGTTTGTTCCAGGTATTGTTTTGGCCTTGAAGTTATCTTAAAGACAGAATTCCTTGCCTTCCTAGAGTTTATATTCCAGGATAGTGAAATAGTGGCAGGATTTATGCTTACTTTTCTTCACTAGAGCCAACTGAAAAATTCCACTCAATACACATCTTATTGGGATCTCTTAGCTGAAACTTTGATTAAAAAAATGCCTACTTTCTCACTCTCATAAAACTGGAAAAGAGTAATTTTTTAATGTCCCAAAATGACTGGGCCACTTCTACTTCTGTGGTTTCTGTGCATTGTAATTAATAAGCAAAAAGTGACATGAGGTTTTCTTTGTTTTTCCTTGAAACAAAAATTTGCTTCAAGGCTTTTTTTTTCCACCTACAAACATATTTATCATTTTAGTTTTGTGCAAGATTCTAGTTGATGTTGATGAGGCAAAGACCAAGTAAATGTCATGAGATGCAGTATTTATTATTTGCTCTTTTCCAGTATGTTTGTCATTGGTACATAAGAAGCCTACTGATTTTTGTGTGTTGACTTTTCATTCTTCCAATTGCTAGAGTTAATGTTAAAAGTTTTCTGATGGTCTTCAGGGTGTCATGTAGAGAATTGTATAATCTGCAAGGGATACTTTAAATCTTTTCACATTTGCATCCCTGTAATTCCTTCTTTTATATTCCATAAAAGACTTCAATAAAGTTATTGTCTAGTAGTGGAGACAACGGACACCTTTGTCTTAATTTTTTTTTTTTCCGAGACAGGGTTTCTCTGTGGCTTTGGAGGCTGTCCTGGAACTAGCTCTTGTAGACCAGGCTGGTCTCAAACTCACAGAGATCCACCTGCCTTTGCCTCCCGAGTGCTGGGATTAAAGGTGTGCACCACCAATGCCCAGCTCACCTTTGTCTTATTACTTGATGGTAGTGACAATGCTTTGACATTTTCTTCATTTATCATGATGTCTACTGGATATAACTTTATTATATTAAGGTAAGTTCCATCCATTCCTATCCTCCTTAAGACTTTTTGCATTAAGGACCTTGTCCTCTTTTTTTTTGAGACTCGCTTTATGCAAGGATATCTGATCAATTTTGGTAAAAGTTCCATGGACTACAGAAAAGAATATATACTTAACATTCATGTAGAATGTTTTGTAGATATTGATAAATTCTATTTGATTTATGATTTCATTTAACTCAAATATTTCTTTGTTGAGCTTTTGTTCAAATGACCAGTCTACTCGTAAGCATAGGGTATTGGAGTCACCCACCATCACTGCGTTGTGTTGATTCTGTGATGTTACATTTAGTAGTATTTGCTTTATGAAACTGGATGTCTGGCTTGATTTATATAGATATGGATAGATAATTATAATGACCTTTTATTGAGTTCTTCCATTGATGAGTATGAAGTGATCTTTGCCCTCTTATATTTTTAATTTGAAGTCCAACTATACATAAGAGATTGCCTATTCCTACGTGTTTCTTAGTTTTGCTTGGAATACCTTTTTCGTTTACCCTAGGCAGTGGCTATCCTTTATGACAATGTTTGCTTGTTTGAGGCAATAATAAGATGGGTTTTCTTTTCTAATCACATCTGCTAGTTAATTAAAGCTTTCAATGTTCAGAGTGGGTTTTTTGAAAGCTGTGTATTAATAAATAAACAAAAATTTATTTTGTTATGTCTGTGGTTTTGCGGTGTTTATTTTTAAGCCTTTTTTGATTAATTTTCCTGGTACTGTTTACTTATTCTCTGTGGCATCTTCAGTGTGTTTATTCTTCTCTTTAGAACAAAATATTCCTTCCAGGGTCCTCTTCCAGAGCTCATTTAGTGGTCATAAATTCTGCTAGGTTATTTTTATCACCGAAAGTTTTCTCTCTGGTTCAATTTTTAGTGGATGATTTCTGGGACTGATACTATATACTGTCTGTGCTCTTTCACAGATTAGGGAAACATCTTTCCTGGCCCCTTTTGCTTTAAATGTTCCTACTGGATTATCAGGTGTGATTCTGATTTGCCTGCCTTCGTAAGTGACTTGACCCTTCTCTCTTGCAGCTTTCAATACTCTTAGTCTGTGATTTAATGTTATTAATAGGTCACGGAGAGTTTCTTTTTTGTCCTGTAGCTTTTTTGTACC